CGGGATGTGGGAACTGGAGCTGGCCCCCGAGCGCTAGGGGCTGCGCGTGGCAGGGAGGCGCCGGTCAGGATGGCCGTGGGGCGCTCGCTCGTGAAGTTTGAGAACCTGCATGAACTGAAGAGGCTCTGTCACTGGGGCCCCATCATAGCCCTGGGTGTCATCACCATCTGCTCCACGATGGCGATGATCGATGCGGTCCTGTGGTATTGGCCCTTGGAGACGCCGGGAGGGGGCGTGAATTTCATCATGCTCATCAACTGGACGGTCATGATTCTTTACAACTACTTCAACGCCATGTTCGTTGGCCCTGGATATGTTCCTTTCGGATGGAAACCGGTAAAGGCTCGCTTCGGTGAACTAGTATTACAGTTGATCTTTGTAATGGGTATGACGACGGAGGTGTTAAACTCGTGCTTTGCGCCTCGTAATTTGCAGTGACCGCTAAGCTTAGAAAAAGAAGACAAGTCCGAGCATCAGGGGAATCTATGGGTTGGGGAATAAATTATACCTGCCTCCTCTTGCTTGTAGGAGCTATGCTGGAGGAGTGTGGCTGGAGCACCTTATGATCCCTGGAATCATAAAATATCTTAAGACAGCGGTTCCCAAACTCTGACAGATGGTGCACCACCAGTTTAAAACGATTACAACCTTAAGTACCACTAGCAAATTTTTCAGTTCAACCTTAAGTGCGACCAGCAAATTTTTGCCATACAAAGTAATTATAATAAACCTATTAACGCGTAAAACTGTCAGGTTGTCTGCGTACCCCTGGGGTACCCATACCACAGATTGGGAACTGCATTTGCCAGCCGTTGGTATACTCTGGGGTTCAGACAAGCTAGAGAGAAGAAAGAAATCAATAAAAGGAAGTTACTAAGACCTCAGTGCTACTAGTTATTTTGTAGTGGTTGGCCTGAATGCAGTTTGCTTGTAACAAGCAACTGGAAGTGTCGGAGTCTACCGTTTTGAGGTGAAAATTGTACTTTTTTGGGTGGGGGGCAGAGCTGGCAATCTTTATGCTTAACAGTGCGAGTTAACTGGAATCACAGCGGAAAGTGCTGATTTCTTGCTCAACCGTCTCCCGCAAAAGGGTGGAGATCAACCACACCCAGTGTTGCATGAAAGTGTTAAGACATGTTCTGCTAGTACGATTTATTATACTGCTTCCTAACAGTTTTGTTCTCACAGGAAAAATCTCAGGACTGCGTGTATCTCCAGTACTGTAAAGTGTGCCAGTCTTACAAGGCACCACGTTCACACCACTGCCGAAAATGTAACAGGTACCATTTGCCTGTGTTAATGTTTTACATTAAAGTAATCTTTAAGAATATAAATTACTTTAAATGATCTTCGTTTTGAGTGTTACCCCATGCGTTGTTTGCCATGTTTATTTCAAATGCAGAACTACGCAACTCCAGAGTAGGAAGAACTGGATGGCATTCACTTTACTGATGCGAGTTTACACAGACACGTCTAGACTTTTTTTAGCAACATATTTTGATGAGTGGGCAAGAGGGAACCTTTCTGACTCATAAACCCAATCATCTGCTTATAATTTATTTTACATAACGCTCATTTTTGCCTTATTCATACTTGTTTACACCTGTTGGTTTTAATAGGACTACTAGACTGAACTATGTCAGTTATCTCTTCACAAGTGTACCCATATCTGTTCAGCCCTAGCTCAATCTTTCTAAGTTACAGGGGATGGCTACCTTATAAAAGGTATGTTTTGTGTTTAAAATAGTTTTATGACAAGCAGCTAAATTGGAAGGTAATGTGTCCTGAAGTAGCACATAAACATTTTAAGCAAGGCAGTGTGTATTTACAGTTAACTTGTTCATCTGAGCCACGCCTCATCTGAAGGACATTTAGAGAGCATAAAGAGAGAAGTTACAACATGCCCAGGGATTTGTTATTTCTGTTAACACTTGACATGTTAGATTGAATCATTTTAGCTGGGCTGTACAAAGCTCCAATCTTTGTGCACTTTACAGGAAGTAAGGATTCTGAAACTGACACACATTATATGCCTCCTTTATTAAGAAGACTTAAAATTAAAGTTCTTCTTTTAGGTACTGCTGACTCTGAGAAATATTTAGTGCAAGGCAGACAGCAGCAAACATAAAAGAACCAAAGAATTTACTCTTTCAGTAGAGCATACCTAACGTATTTCTTGGTTTCTGAGTAAATGCTGAGTCTTTTTAGCGTAAAGGCAGTGTCTGCAGAGGACACGTAAAGCGAATGGTACCCAGATAACTTCTTTTACAGTGTTCATGCATGTTTGTGTAGGTCTAACCCTATCTTCTTTACATGCAGAGATGCACCATTATATTTAAATGTGTGCTAAGTGCTGTATACTACGGGTGCACCGATAAAGATTTGGGGGGGTCAATACTGACAGCTGATATTTAAGGAGGCATATCAGCTGATACCAATCCAATTTCCGATACAGCTGCATGCAGCTGGTAAGTCTGTTGCGGTGAAAGGGGAGTGGGGGGAGGGGAGGGATGGGCGGGGATGGGAAATGCAGATCAATGCCCCCTGCAGTGAGGAAGGAGTGGGGCTGGGGTAGGCGCTGCCCAGCCAGGGTGGGCACAGAACAAAGCCACACCTTGTCCAGGGGCACAGGGACGGGGGTAGTGGCTCCCGCTGCTACGTGCCACTGGTCCGGGAGCAGCTTGTCTGCTCATCCCATGGCTCCAGCCCCTGCTCCTGCCGCCCCGCC